CCAATGTAGCTCTCTCTCTTGAATGGCGCCAGGCGCCCTACCTACTCTACAGCCTAACACTACAACTACAGTATGAAAGCAACCAGACAACTTGATGACCAGCGAGTGATGATGTCAACTCCAATGCCGACCTCCCACCTCCACCAGGTACGTCTCCTTCTTCACCCACACTCTCCCTTGTTATCCCACACAACGCCCTTCACCTCCGAAGAACCACCTTCGCCCTCACCTCCTCTGCGCCCTCAGGCAGCCCGGCTATGGCCGCCAGCACCCTGTGTACAGGCAGCGCCCTACCGCCTAGCGCCTGCCTATCTCGCTCCTTAGCCTAGCGCAGCGCAGCAGCGCAGCAGCTCACATTCGCGCAGCGTGCCGGCATTGCCCGCAATGGCCAAGATCCCTGCCCACTCGCCCTGCTTGCCTATATGCCAGTGTTGCGTGTGGGCAGCCTCCCTTGAGCATGTGCCTGGGCCCCAGTGCCTGTTCCCAGGCCCGATGCAGTTGGGGGCCCAGGAGATGCAGTTGCGCCTCTTTCGTCAAGGCCTGCGGCCAGATTCAGATAGTGGACCGGTTTCCCTTTGGCATTTTCGGCCTCTATATCCAGCATGCATTGTCGGCCTCACGTTTATGTGCCCAGGGCCTAACCAACTCAGGGCCCTGGGATTTCTGCATGTGCAGAGCTCCGATACTCGGTGCACACCAACCAACTGGCGTGCTGCAACTGTATGGACCCCACTTCGTGAAATGTTTGCACAGAGGGCTCTTGTTGATTTGCTGGCCCGCCTTCACTTAGGGCGGGCACTAGGCTTGTTGGGGCCTTAGCCCAGAACATGAACATCATGGCACGACCCCTTCTTGAGGGCTCAATCCTCATACTTGCCTCTTTCAAAACGTGAGCAAGCTCCGAAAGGCCACTTCCAGACCTTCCGGAAGTTCGTAGACTTGGCCTTTCGGTACCGTAGCAGCTACGACCTTGACCTTTCAGGACTACAGCAGCTACGACTTTGACCCTTCCGAGAGGCTACAACTACGATTCCTAGGACCTGCTAAGACCTACAAACGACAGGTCTAGAGATCAAACCCCTACAACCTACGGACCTACGACAGCCGACCAACTACTGCGAATACACAAGTCACGGGTTCAACTCTCAGGGTCGACTCAGATACTGTACACAGGTGAAGTGAGGACTGGGGATCGAGCCCTGTGACTTGCATCGGCTACTGCGGAAGGTGGAATCCGTTTCACTCCCGCCGGCCTAAATTCGAGGGCCTCCGAGAATATTTCAATCGAAGGCAGGACCTTTACCTTTCTTATCTCTCTCATAGGCGCGAACGATATCAGGAGCGGACTCTAGAAGTTCTATTCGTGTGTACCAGCGGTCGTCGTCCGGTTCTTGATACGCAAATCGAACCTTGTACTGTTTCTGAGGACTACCTCTACCTCCTATTCTGAAGACATCTTCACCTACAATGCCCTCAATGTCATATCTTCCATCCATGTCCGGGGGGATTGTGGATCTTCTTGATGGAAACTGTTGGCTCGTGACACAAGGCAGCAACTTTGACACGTGAAACACAGGGTTGGTGTGGAGGTGTGTTGGGATCTCTATTGTATAGGGCGGTCCATCCTCCCCACCCTTAACTTCTAGAACCAGCCACGGTCCCCTGTATGCTCGCAATAGCTTTTGTGAGATGTTCTCCTCAGGAGCAAATTCTTTAGACTTGACCCAGACTAAGTCACCTACTTGAAACTGCGATGGGCGACGGTGCTTGTTGGCTTGTTTCCACAACGGTGGCTAATTCTTTCTCGGGCTGAAGTGCAAACGCACTAGTTCTGGGCGGTAGCCTCTGAATCTGGTCCCAGTTAAGTCCTTCAGATGGTCTACGTGGTTTGAAAGACTTATGTAACTCGTTGGGAGTGTGATAAGTGGCTAGATCCACGCTATTATTATATGCACTGGCTACCTTTGGGATCATCTCATCCCAATCGACTTGATCGGGTCTAATGTACATACGCAAAACTTGTTGCAGAATCTTATTCATTTGTTCAGTCTGACCGTTAGTCTCTGGATGACGGCCATATGACATTAATAACTTAGACCCATAGACTGTCATCAACTCCTGCCAGTTCTGACTAGTGAAACGGGTGTCTCTATCACTAAACATAGACAGCGAAATCCCGTGTTCACTGACCCAATGATCAAAGAACTTTTGAATTACTAAATTTGTGCGTGCCTCCGCAGGCAGAGGAACAAAAACTGCATACTTGCTAAATCTATCAACTATAACCATGACTTGGCTCTTGTCGTGCCTACTCTTGACATGGGTGTCCATAAAGCCAATGAACACTGAGTCTCCCGGCTGGTCATGAATAGGCAAGGGTCTGAGAAGACCTAGAGGGGCACGCGTAGAGGTTTTGTTTCTTTGGCAGACCTAACAATTGCGAACATACTCTATGCAGTCGGCCTTCATCCCAGGTCATATGTACGCGCGCGTGAGGTTAGCTAGAGTCTTTTGCCAACCAAAATGTCCCTCGGTATCGTGGCATTCACCTAGGATCAGACTATGGATCTCCTCACTGTTAGGAATGCACAATCGGTCAACTACGTTAGTCTTCTCAAATAGCAGTCCATCAGTAGTGCGGTAGGACTCAGGGGCCTCCTTTACTCTCTTGAGGAGGTCGCTATAGATAGGGTCCTGCGCATACGCCTCTCTAACTTTTTGTTGCAGGTCTCTCCCTATATCCAAATAGTGAACTATTGCTCCAAAGTAGTCAGCTCTCCTACTCAGAGCATCTGCAACTACATTGTACTTCCCTTTTACTGGCTTGAGCTCAAAATCGTATTGGTCTAACTGTGCAGCCCACCTAGTAAGCTTAGGTGTCATCTTGGCCTGAGTCTTCATCCACCTTAACGTCTCATGGTCCGAATAGACTTTGAAGTGCCTCCCAAGCAAGTAGTGCTTCCAGTGTTCTAGTGCTTGGTTGAGAGTGTAGAGTTCTCTTTCGTAGGTGGATGACGCTACCTTCCCTGAAGGCATCCTAGCAGACATGAACTCTACGGGTCTATATCCACTGCCATCATCTTGCTGTAATACAATACCTATACCATACTGCTCGCGTCAGTGGTGACGACGAAAAGTAAGGACGGATCGGCTACCTTAAGGACTGGGTACCTTATCAATGCTTGCTTCAGTTTCTTCATGGCAGACGTGCAGTCCTTGTCCCACTTCCAGATTGTTTCTTTCTTCAGCAATCTGCGAAGGGGTGCAACAATCGTGGAGAAGTTTCTCACAAACTTCCTGTAATAGTTAGCTAGGCCTAAGAATGACCGCAACTCTGTTAACGTGCGGGGCATAGGCCAATCTCTAGTCGTTGCTATTTTGCTATCTTCTGGCTTAATGTCGTCTCCGTCTAAGACATGGCCTAAATACAAAACTTGGGTCTTTGCCCATTCGCACTTCTTTGCGTTGATCTTGAAGTTAGCCTTTCTCAGCTTCTCCAAGACCTGCCTCAGATGACCCTCATGCTCCAGGAGGGTCCTACTGAACACTAGAATATCATCTAAGTAGACTACTACAAACCTATCTAACCACGGCCTAAATAAGTCGTTCATACAACGCTGAAAAGTTGTTGGAGCTTTGGTTAGTCCAAAGGGCATAACTATGAACTCGTAGTGCCCATACCTAGTCCGGAATGCAGTCTTATACTGATCATCAGGATGAACCTCTATCTGATGATATCCGAACGTCAAATCTATCTTTGAAAAGTACTTGCAACCCTGCACCCTATCTAAAAGATCATCTATACGGGGCAGTGGCTCCGCATTCTTCACTGTAATAGCATTGAGACCCCTATAGTCAATGCACATTCTAAGCTCTCCCTCCTTCTTGGGGACAAATAGAACAGGTGCTCCAAATGGAGACGAACTGGGCCTAATCCAACCCTTCTCTAAGAGTTCATCTAACTGCTTGCGCAACTCCTCCAACTCCCGCGGGGACACCCTATACACTGCTCCCTTAGGAGTCCTATTGCCAGACTTTATCTCAATGTGATGCTAGATAGGCCGCGGGACTACCCCTGTTGGCGGCTTAGCTAAATCTGTGTATTCTTCCAGCAGCTTGGCAATAGCGGGATCTATGCGCTTTTCCTCTTTAGGCTCGGTAACGGGTCTAACGTAGGCTACAAAAACCTGTTCTTCTAGTTGTTCCTTCTTCACTAGCCTTGCAAATGCAGGAGTGCTAAGACAGCAATGTGCTAAGGAGTTGTCTACTCCTGACACATGAAACAATCGAGCAATCTTCACCTCGCCCGATGGACTAGGGAGCCTACACTCATGCTCTCTCAGAAGGAGTGTGGCCCCTGCTGCCTCTCCCCAGTCCATTCCTATGACTATGTCAAATGGGAGGTTGTCCTCTACGAGGAGAGTCGGGGAATGGAGAACTCTCTCCACCTTCCCATCTTTCTCTAGGCGGAAGTACGCCTGGACTCCCTCTACGTAATCCTCTACTCGCATCGTGCGATTATCTGCGAGGATACTTACTATGGGGTCTGCTAACTTTTGGACTTTTAATCCCAACTTTAACTTTTGCGGCGCCTTTCTACTAATATAGCTGCGAGTGGCCCCACTATCTACGAGGGCCCCTACTCTGCTCCTAAAGACTTCTACATCTACTAGTACTAGCTGTCCTCTACTCTGTTTCTTCATCTTGGCCCAGGTGGGCATTCTCTCCTTTAGCTCGCCAGCCACGCCTGTGAGGGAGGTGCCTAAAGAGACTCTAACACATGCAGTCTCTGGACAACTATCTAGGCACAACCAGTCACAAAGGAAAGCCGAGTGGATCACATCCATATTTATTTATATTTGCATGTGAACAGAGAGTTTGATACTTTTTCTAAGTAGAATGCTCTCGCTTAAGACGTATCACTAAGGAGAGAAATAAAGTTAAGAGTGTCATTGAAAGTAAACTGGGCAAGTTGAACATTGCTTTTAAGCACAATGGTTGTCCCCTGTCCATATTTGAAGACAAGTCAGAGAATTGTATAAACATTGGATATTGAAACAATTCATGATGACTAGGCATTGTTTCTAAGCTGAATGGTCTAGTCACATACCTAAAGAAGAGAGAAGTAGTTTTGCAACTTGTTCGTGTATAACCTAAGGCATGCTAGGCATTGTTTATAAAGAAAATGATGTAGCACCATACCGTCTGTAAGATGGGTAAAGTTTGATCATTTGGAGGATTAATGAACTACCGGAGAAATGTACCTCCTGGCCAGATCTACCAGTTCACCCCAATAAGAACAATCAGTGAGAGTAAGAGGAACTGGAGACTTGGGGTAATCTGTGTAGAGCTTTGGTCCAAAACTACGGATCATCTTGGTACCATTGTCGTCAAACTCTCTCTCCTTTTATTCAAGGTACCTGGCTGCCGAGGTCCAGACTGAGTCGAAGTGCTCATGTGTTTCCCTGCCCTTCTTCAAGTAGACCCTCAGGTCATGTATAACACCCCCTGCAAATTCTGTGTGAACCACAAAAGTTGACAGGTTTACCTGCCTGAAACCGACTGCACTAATGTATTGATATTGGACTGCATCCCTGGAAGCAATCCGAGATTGACGAGAACTGAGTCGTCAACTGAGAAGGGTTGTACTGTGTTAATATGCAGTAGTGGTTTTGAAAATTGATCCAATGTCTTCGTAGAGAAAGACTGTTCGTCTGAAATTGATCTTTGCGGTAGGTAAAAGTCTGAGTGTTGATTGACAAATGGTTGAATGCTGCTGGGATAATAAATCATTTAACACTAGTTACATAGTGGCGAAATGCTAAGAAGCCTGCTGATAGTTGGGTGTTATCTGATGTTTGAAATGTTTGACGGGGAAACTTCGGTATCTTTGTGCTCACCTGAGTTTTGTCCGAGCCTGCTCCGCTGTTTCTAGGAATGAGCCGGTGCTGTGTAGCTTACCGTCAAGCCGTAAAAGTAGGACACATATTCTATATACCTCTCTTCATTGACTATCCGAACTGCATGTTCTCGTTGAGTCTGTCTATGAGAATCCATGTCTCGGTATGCCTCTTCTTCCCATCCTTCTACTCCATCTCGGTAATCGGCATAGGACATCACCAGAGTATCACTGTTGTGCATGATTCCCGAGGAAAGAAAACGGAAGTTCTGCTAGTCGTAGTGTTATTGTAAAGTAGGGTTTGCTAGGTTCCGACTGTTTTGTTGTTGTGGAACACTGCTAAGATTTTCCATTTGGGCCGTTTGCCCGCTGCATGTCCTCAACCAATAAGAACCAAGGTTACATAGCTTCCGTTTGCTTACTGTATGTGCGTTCCAGATCACTGACCTCGCCTCCGCCTTGTCTCACTCTGCTTGTGTGCAGCACACGGGCGTCGTTGATACTAGCGCACGAGTTCAATCGTGGCTTGGTTAGTGAATCTCTACCCCGCTGTAACATAGAGTGTCGCGTACTGCCGCTCGTATCGAGTCATGACACTGGATATCTTGGGCTGCAAGACTTAGTTTGACGGAATGCAAGATGCTTTTGTGTCATTCACTAGGGAGTGAGCAGATCTTTCTTTCTGCAGCTCATGCCCTGATCTCGGTAACAGACTGGAATGACGAAACCATATAAATAGCCCTTACAGTCTTGATTTTAATGATGACCCGCACGCTCAATTGAGATTTTTCCTCTTGTCACACGAAAGCTCTCCTGTTTGTTTCGTTCTCTTTCGTCCTATCACGTAAGTTAGCTACATAATGTTTTCCCTTGTTTCCCCTCCCCTACTCTTCAGGTCTCCCATAGTCCGTCCTTTTGAGTTAAGATGTCTGTGACTCTGAGGGTCAGGAGGGGTGGTTCTGCAATCTGCGTTCTCTAGTAATCGTTACTTGTCGGGGCAGCCGGGGGAACATGCAGTAATTGACTCACACTTGCGCCAACCCTTTTACAACTTAAGGCATGCGCTCCCATGAGCCGTTTGCCTCTAATAATTTAGATAACGCCTGCCTCTTTACAGCAGATAGTAGTCTATACAGGACAGGGCCTTCCTGATCGGATGACGGCGATCAGAGGAATCAACCACATATCAACTTTAACGTTGACCCAGTGACTATCTGTTCTTAAAATAGTATACAGGCGCCCATTCTCTCAAGGTGTCGGTGTATGCTAGGAGTAGGCCGCGTCCTGAACGGTGAATGAGCACGAGCAACTTCAAATACCATACCATTAGGATTACGGTATACTCAGCTGTAGAAAGGTACTTTGAAAACTGGACAAGGCCAGCACTGAGATTTCTCACACGTAACAATATCGCCAGAGCGCTTCCTCTTATCAAGCACCCTAAACACACTTGCTTTAGTTATATGACCTATCCATATTCTGCATACCATTACAAGACTTAACCCTAATCATTCTTATTAAGGGAGCTCAAGGCATTTGATCTAATCAAGCAGTTCATTGGGTTAGCTTGCAAGGTTACTCTGTACTCGGCGTTACGGCCGCGAGCGTGAGTTTGTTCTCGCTCGAGACAGTGTATGCATTAAGATATCCACGTGTAAAGTGCGGTCTATGATTAACACGAGTCGAGGCCCCGAGCATATTGTGTGAACCCTGTCCGCATTCTGTCACGCAACTATCTTGGCACGCGCAAAATCATCCCTCTGTTTCCGGCGGTGATTAGTGATCGAGCAATAGACTGCATAGATGCAGGCGAAGTCTAGAGGGCGATCAAGCACCAAACACGCCTTAACGTGACCGCCAAGTACACATGAGTTCTCCCTCCTTTCTCTCCCATGAGCGCCGCTCACTCACGCGTGTTCACAGCTCTTTGTTGATCTCTTCACAATACAATACCACACTAATCACACGTAGACAGCATAAGGCACACACACAGAGTCCTCGTCTGCACGCTCTGAGAGGCCATGATGACCGCCACGAACCCATGCACATGTATCTATGTGTCTCAACTATGGTGAGAGTAAGATATGAGGTGACCGCCAGCACGCAATGTTTTGTCTCAAGACGTCAGCAAGAAAGATGGACGATTCCGTTCCCCAGAGTGTCTAACCTCGTCTAGATTCCCTCTCTCCCTCTACCATGTACATGTTATGGCTAGAGCATCGTCACGCTGACAACAAAGGGACCGCCAAGGTTAGAGATGAAGACTGCCCAAGCAGCGCGCAAATCAAGTAAAGAAATAGCTGGCGTCGACTGAGTGAACCTGCCACCATAGGCGTTCACGTGTCATGCACGACTCTCCTCTCTCTGAATCATATGTGAAGCCTCTTGAAAACTCCCCACTCCCGGTCGCTTACTCACAAACCCCTAGCGGGCTTGTTCTCGTCGTCACCTCAAGTTCCCCTCTGCTCCGCACACGTGTCCCCTCTTTAGCTTCCTGCGCGCGGGAGTCATCGTTGACATCAGCACCCTGAGCATTCTTTGCACTTGCAAACGCCCCATGTCTAGTCTCTCTCGCGCGCATGAATAGTCCATTGTACCTCTGTCACTGTAACCATCTGCGCGTGCTCAATCCCTCCGCTGGGCCGAACTAGCCTCTAGCCCGTCCTCTACCGACTCGGCCGGCGGATGCTCCCTCCTCCACTGCTCCAGTCCGTGCCAGGACTGCGTCAGCGCGTCGCTGGCTTTGGACTCGGCCTCTTAGTCCCGGTCCAACTCCTGCTGCTCTCGTTCAGTTTTGCTCGTGGAGGTCTCCCTCGTGGTAAGTGATCGTAACCTTCAAGGCCGCAGTCACTCCATCCCTCCTGCACCTCCGCTCGGCTCGGTTGCGAGCCTCGGTGACTACCCCCGTACTTTCTCATCTTTCCTCATCTCTTGTTCTTTCCCACCGTAGACGTTTATCTTTAACCTTGCCTGCCCGTCACTTTTACTATAGCTCAGGCAGACTTTCATTGTAGCCCCCTCTTCGCGCATAGGCTCCCAGCTCCAGTAGAACCTCAAGTACCCTGGCCTATAGCCAAAAAGGTCATTACTACGCGCCCTAGCCACTCCTCTATTGAAAAGATCGTGCATAGTGTTAGGCTACTGGCTCTAGAATAGCCAGAACCGAACACACGGCGCATGCGCACACAGACGAAATCACACGCTCATTTCGTCGCCCGGTCCTCGTTCTTCGGCTCACCCGTACTCAGCATAACGGGACCGCCTGTACCCGAGTAGCCAATAACACAACTCCCTTCTGTTTTATAAGACCTCTACCTACCACGATCCCCGTGTTCTAAATGAGGGATTTAATTCAGCAAACATTTAAATTATGAACGTTAATGATTAGATCTTAGAAAAATGAGTAAAAGATAAAATAAAATTTAAAGGAAGAAAGAAGATAAAGGACCGCACCCCAACGATCATATTAGAGCAGAACTCCCTGCCGTCCATCACAACCCCTTTGTTTTCGAGTGACATATTTGCTGGTGCGGCTGTCCCATAACAGAATACCGCCCGACACTCCACTTCCTTCATAGGGCACTTACGGGCTACCACTAATGGGTACCCGTATCCGATGGTAAGGAGGGGGCCTATGACCGCCCCCCTGGGGGTTGATAGGCTTCCTACCGAAGCAGTCGCGGGTTACCCCTCTTTTGGGGTCTCACTGGGCGGCGCTAAGCCAGACAGGTCAGTCACAGTGCGATACTTGAAGGGTCGGGTTAGTGCAGACCACCAGACTTCAATCGAAGTTCGAAAATGAAACATCTGCCCTCCTTCCCGCGAAGTGACAAAAGGGGAAATAAAAAAAATCAAAGGTAGTACGAGGATCAGGATCCTCGATAGGCCTATGGGGCCCTGTCTGCAGCCTTACCCGCCCTAAGTGAAGGCGGGCCTGGCTTTTTGCAAAGGGCCTTCGAATGTCAATTTCATATTTGGGGTTCAGGCAGTTGCGACGCGCCAGTTGGTTGAAAGAAACACAGGCCAAGCAACAAGGACATTTCCACGGCCTACCGGGCCTTTTCCAAAGAATGCAGGCCCTGGTCGTGATTCGCAGCCTCATACAGAGACAGTTGGGCGCCCAACCGAACGGCCCAGCAGCCCAGTAGTTGCTGCATCCAGGTAGCCTCCTGGGGCCTTCCGGAAGCTTCTAGGCCCAGGCCAAGGCAGCCAGGCTGCGTGAGCAGGCCAACTCTTTCCATAAAGGAAAGAGCTCGGCCTTGGCTGCCTCATTCAGACACTCACATGCTGGGCGGCAGCGCTGCTGGAGCTTATGCTCGTAGGCTGCTGCTAGCGGTGAGAGGCGAGGTGCAGCACGTGCGGTCGTGCAGAGGAGGAGGGCGTTGCCGAGGGCAGCGCCATAGCCCAGCCACCATAGCTGGTGGGCTTGGACTACAGTGAAGCGCAGGGGTGGTCTTCGGGTGACAGAGAGGACAGATGTGGGTGAAGTCAGGGGATAGGTGAAGGATGATGATGATGATGATGATGATGTGAGGGAACGTACCTTGTATTGGCGATGGTCTGCATGGGCGGCATCGTCAAGTAGTTCGGGCTGCTGCTGATGTCAACAGTTGCATTGTCTTTTTGTAGTCTGTAGTAGCTGTGTAGGACTAGGCTGGGCGGTGAGCACCAATTGTGAGTGTAAGGGAGCTGGACTCTTTTGTTGAGAGGAGAGAGTGTGCTCTCCACGGACATTGGTTTTCAGTGCTACGAAACTCCATTGGTGTATTATTGGTGCAATGCTGCTATCTGGACACGGTGTGACTATTTGGCTTGCAATGTGATGATGTGATCTGGAATTGTCATCTCGCTGTTGCTTATTTTCCTTGCAGTAGAGAAAAAAAGAATAAAATACAAGAAGGAAAGATATGTACCACCGCTAGAACTTTCCGGTTAAAAAAAGCCATAATTCGATAAATGCATTTGTAGTCTCTCTTTTTTCCTTCTTTTTTTTTTTTTTTCGGAGCTTTCTCCCCTTTTCTTTTAATAGTGACCATCCCTTCTACACCTACCCCATAACACGACTATAGGTGCCCGACGTGCAGTTGGGAACAACAAATTGACTATCACTATCCCTCTTCTGCACTTAGCCCAGATCATGACCATCGGGGCCCAACGCGCGGCTAACTGTGCTACCCCTTTTCTAACACGCTAGGCAACCCCGACGGTCACTTCAGCTACGGGGCGGCACACTGTTAGGCAGGGTACTGAACCTACATAGTACTATTGGAAAGCCCAGTATCTGAGCCTATCAATTCCACACGACCCTGCGGACTGGTATCGGGCTTACAGCGGAAGTGAGCGGATGGACTGGTACGCAGCGGTAAGTCAGCGGTAAGTGAGCGGATGGACTGGTACGCAGCGGAGGGCCGGGACACCGCGCCCTCCGACATGATACCAAACCCCCGCCCAGCATCCCCGCCAAAACGCAGTAGTCGATCAGTATAAAATAATATGAGTTGAGAACTCCTTTACCCATTTTTTTTACAAGCAACGGCAATGTTTCT